GCCCCTGGGAAGATACTCCCTTCCAAGGCAGATAGACTTGAAAGAGAGAGATCTGCTGTCTTGGAAAGTGGCTCCCTGCACCAGACTGGGGGCAGCCACCACCAGGAGAGCCATCAGGGACATTCTCTGGTGGCTGGAAACTGACTATATTATACTATATATTATTTTTATTTTTAAAAAAGTATCTGAGTTTGAGATCAGGGATATAGTTTAGTTGGAAGAGTGCTTGCCTAGCACGCACAAACCCAGGGTTTAATCCCCAGTACCACATCAAACCAGAGGTAGTACTTATAATCTAGCTCAGGAGGTGGACACAGGAGTATCGGGAATTCAGTGGCATCCTTGGCTACATAGTGAGTTCAATGCCAGGCTGGACTATGAGATCTTGTCTCAAAACACCCAAAAGGCCCAGTGACAAAGTCTCAGATGTTGATCTAGTCTACTCTTCAACAATCAAAACAAGCACAGCCCAACCCCCAGCGAGTTGGCTCAATTGAGAATGTGAGGCAGTAGTGTGCTTGAATTCTGATGCAGTTTGACAGACCCTTGACTGGCACAAGCGACCAGAACCATATGCCTTGCGCAAGTGAGAGGGACATGTGACTCTTTCCTGTGTGTATGCACATCCTGCCTGGGCCAGATGAGCAGGTCAGAGGGTCAGAAGTGGCTAAACTGCCCCCCGCCCCAGGGTCTTAAGGCAGGTTATCTGAAAGGTCTCTAGGTTTTCTGCATATTGACTCATTACTTATCAGTCCCGGCTCTCTTCCAGACACTTGCTGTAAACTATGTTAACTTGACCAGACTAAAGGAGTTATTGGCCTGGTAAAAACAGATAACAGTTACGATCACAAGCCACACATCCTTCTCAGCACCCAGCTTCCATAAAACACCTGTGCTGTCTTGTATAGGCCTCTATTTCACAGGCGAGGGAAACTGAGGCATGAGAGAAGAAGAGCATGGGCAAGCCCTGGATGGGTATACCTCAGTAGGATCAATAACTTTCAGGAGATCAAATTCTACCAGTCACCTAAGTGACTGTCCAAACTTGTAGGTGGCTTCATTTTCTTATCTGTATTGTCTCCAAATCTCACATACCTCCTGGAGTTAAAAAATTAGAAACTAAGGCATGGGGTGCACGCCCTTAATCCCAGCACTTGGGAGGCAGAGGCAGGTGGAGCTCTGTGAGTTCAAGGCCAGCCGGGTCTACATAGTGAGTTCCAGGACAGCTGGGGCTACAGGGAGCCCCTGTCTCAAAAAGACCCCCCCCCAAAAAAATTAGA